CTTTCAGAGGTGAGTATCTAGGCTCTATTATGTGTTCATTGAACAAGCAACTCCAATGTTTTCAGGCATTTCTTGCTATTCCTGCACCAGCAGAAGAGCAGCCTTGCCTGCCTCTAAAGTCAGGTGCCCTTACAGAGAGTTTAAGCTGATCTGTTTGCCTGTGAGTGAGAATAGCAGATGTCCCAGGGATGGTAACCTTCAGGATAACAGAGGGGAAACTGGCAGCAGCAGTCTGCTTCAGGGACACATCATGGGCAAAATAAATTGCAGAATCACAGAACGGTAGGGGTTGGAAGAGACATTTGGAGATCATCTAGTCCACCTCCCTGCCAAAGCAGGTTCACCTAGAGCAGGTTGGACAGGAATGCATCCAGGCAGGTTTTGAATATCTCCAGAGAAGGAGACTCCACAACCTCTCTGGGCAGCCTGTGTCAGTGCTCTTCCACCCTCAAAGTAAAGAATGTTTTTCATCGTGTTGAGATGGAATTTCCTGTGTTCCAGTTTGTGCCTGTTGCCCCTTGTCCTGTCACCAAGCACCACTGAAAAGAGTCTGGCCCCATCCTCTTGACACCCACCCTTTAGATATTTGTAAGCATTGATGAGATCCCCTCTCAGTCTTCGCTTCTCCAGGCTGAACAGACCCAGGGCTCTCAGCCTTTCCTCATAACAGAGGTGCTCCATTCCCTTGATCATCTTTGTAGCTCTCTGCTGGACTCTTTCCAGTAGTGCCCTGTTTTTCTTGAACTGGAGAGTCCAGGACTGGACACAGTACTCCAGATGTGGCCTCACCAGGGCAGAGTAGAGGGGGAGGATGATCTCCCTCGACTGGCTAGCCATGCTCTTTTTAATGCATCCCGGTATACCATTGGCCTTCTTGGCCACAAGGACACATTGCTGGATCATGGTCAACTGGTTGTCCACCAGGGCTCCCAGGTCCCTCTCTGCAGAGCTGCTTTCCAGCAGGTCAACCCCTAACCTGTACTGGTGCATGGGGTTATTTCTCCATAGGCGCAGGACCCTACACTTGCCCTTGTTGAACTTCATTAAGTTCCTCTCCACCCAACTCTCCAGCCTGTCCAGGTCTCACTGAATGGCAGCACAGCCTTCTGATGTATCAGCCACTCCTCCCAGTTTTGTGTCATCAGCAAGCTTGCTGAAAGTGCGCTCTGCCCCCTCATCCAGGTCGTTGATGAATATGTTGAACAAGACTGGACCCAATACTGACCCCTGGGGAACACGGCTAGCTACAGACCTCCAACTAGACTCTGTGCTGCTGATCACAACCCTCTGAGCTCTGCCATTCAGCCAGTTCTCAATCCCCCTCCCCATCCACTCATCTAACCCACACTTCCTAAGCTTACCTATGAGGCTGTTATGGGGGACAGTGTCAAAAGCCCTGCTGAAATTGAGGCAGACAACGTCCACTGCTCTCCCCTCCTCCACCCAGCCAGTCATGCCATTGTAGAAGGCTATCAGATTGGTCAAGCATTACTTCCCCTTCGTGAATCCATGTTGACCACTCCAAATAACCTTCTTTTCCTCTACCTGCTTAGAGATGACATCCAGGATGATGTAATCTGTCAGAGTACCTACCCTTCTACACCATTTGTAGATGAAAAAAGAGGCCTTGGAAGAATTCAGTACTTGATCCAGGCGATCTGGTGAACCACGGGGAGAGCCAAAATTGAAATGCAGGAGTCTTTGCTTAAGCCCAGCTTTAAACAGCAGTTTTAACCCTGGTTTTGTGCTTAGCTTGCCTTTTCATATACAGCAGCTCTTTCACAAAGCCACGCAGCACACAGGTTTACTGAATTTCTGAATTCGACAGATCAAATTTAGTGCCGTTGGGCCTTCACAGAGGAACCCACATACCTGCATAAACCACCATTGACTCCAAGGGCTCTCCAGTCAGATCTGCAAGTCTATCTCCTCACGTGTGACAGAAAGATCTGTGATTTAATTTGTTCTCAAATCAGAATTGTAATGCTTTGGTAGTTTTAACGGGAGGAAGAGATGAGCAGAATTAGCTGTTATTACAGCATGGGTTCCTTTGCTACTGAGAAGTGAAAAAAGACATATTTACAGTAAAGGGTAAATAAAGTCATCAATCTCTGTGCCTAGTATTTTAAAATGTCTAGCATGTAGATAACTATTGGTACAAATGTGAAAGGCTAGGAACAAGGCAATCAGGAAACTCATGAACGATAATAATTATTTATGCCCTTAGAAAATTGGGTATCACTTACCTAAATTAGAGCTATAAGTCACTTCTGCTAGATGAGAATCTGCTATGTCTCATTTGCAGCATTTACATCACAGATTAATCACTGTTTAATCAAAATGTGGCAAGAACACTTCTTTGGGGATCTTATCTTTCACGTTTGATACCAAGAAACTTTGTTTAGAGCTGTTCTATGTAGTTTATGCAACAATTTTACAGTGGGTGGGCAAGGAGAGCATGAAGTGCAAATAGAGATTTGGGAATGCTCACTGAAAAAAACAAAAATATCTCTCTGTTTTGCCAACTCATGCTTTTACCATATTTTCAGAACTGTTAATCTCCTTCTCCTGACTTCCAAAAGTGCAACTCTTATTTCAAAAGCAAGTAAACTGGTGGTTATTTCCCTTCAATTAGTCTGTTCCCTGTGTACAAGCGGAGTACTACACCGTGACCTTTCCCTCTGTTGGAGGTCTAATTATTTTCTTAGACTGACTTCCAAAGGAAAGGAGGCGTACGTGACCATACTGGAGCAAGGGTTCCTTACTAATAATTGTGAAAGACACTGGCCATGTTTGTACAGCCCTATTTGTCAGAGTGGCAGAAATATCACAGAGATCCTACAATGCCCCTAGATGTGCTAAACTAGGTGTCCTGGGAGAAGAGAAAATCATTATTTGTCTTACATGGGAGACAAGCTGCGTTGTTGCCCATGTTATTCTCACAGCAAAGAGTATATACAGGAGAGAGCAATTGAAAACCTCCCGAGTTACGCTGTAGGACAATACAAGCATCCTATAGTTGGCAGCTTACAACAGCTCACAACTGTCATCAACAGTTAGCAGAAGTAAGTTATGATTGAATCCGCTCTCTTCCTAGGTAAATAACGAGAAAAGCCGCTATTAATGTGTGACTTGAGACTCCCTCATTAGACGAGCAGGGCCTAAGGAAAGCCCGTGAATGAGTCCTTGTAAGGACACAGAAAGGCATGTAAATCCTGCGTGAGGAAAAAGAGCCACTGAAGAAAGCAGAGGCGTTATCAGCCTGAAACAAAGACCAGGGGAGATCAGAAAAGGGAACCAGAATAAGGACCCTGTGTGCACTTTGAACTTAAAGCTGAATCCCCATGGATCTCTGACGTCAGGTTCCTGAGACTCCCTGAAAGCTTGTCTTTTAGAGGATGGACTACGTTACTTCGTGGTTCAGATGCTAACTACTCAGATTTGTAACTTTATCAACAGCAGGAAACATCTAAATCCAAGATTGCAATCAACCACAAAACACAAATCCTTAAAAAATAAAGCAGACGATTACACAATTTTCAGGGCTTTTCAACCTACTTCTTATACCCGCAACACTAAAACTAAGACAAATCAGACAGGATTCAAGGTTTGAGGGCCCTGGTCTCTACTCCACTGTATGCCACAACAACCCACAACAGAAAATTTCAGTTGGGTAGATTTACCCAGAGCAGCAGCTCAGCACAGGTGCCCCCACAAACAGACTCTAACCCAGTGGAAAGCGCATTCTAAGTGGTGCAAACCAACAGCGTGATGGCTTTCAGATCCCACATCAAGGCTCAGAAAAAGCTTTCTTGCAACCCAAAGGCATTAAGAGAGATGCTAAATGTTGTCTTAGGATTTTGTTTTTAAATGATCACTCTTTAGATCACTCTGTATTTACTCAATGCAGCAGCTTTCAGTAAGACATCACACCGGCTTCAAATCCTCTACACAACCCCAGCTCTGCACAGTCCAGGCAGACAATGCAACCTCCTTCTTCCTCTCTGGCAGCCTCCTTTGCCCCAGGACCTGTAGAGGATGCAGCATTTCCAGTGTTCATGGCTCATGGAAGGTCGCAACTGAGAGTCCTGGGAGCAACACAAGAGCTTGAACACTATCATCTGAGTTTCTCAGTTAATTCCACACATGTAGTACATCTGTGCTTGTGCCACAATAGCATAAATCCATATTGTGAATGAACGTCTGGTGACACGGCATTTAAAATGGAAATACAAAGCTGTTACTGATTTTTCAGGGTATTGTTTGGATCACAAATCTAGCTTCACTCTAACATTTTTTCTGTACATTACTTTGAGTGAATGAAGCAGAAAACAGCCTCATGGTAGCAATTAATTTTGCATATTGTACCTTTTCCGTGTTTCTTAAAAACTAAAAATCAGGATCACAATGAGAAAAATCTACTAGACAACTTATATCTGACAACCAGTTGCATGTTTAATAGACTCATTTTCCACTCAGAACTGGGTGACAAAAAATCCAAACCAAAACAACCCCCCCAAAACCCCAATAGCAAATAAGATCTGGAATCAAAAGCCTTTCACATTCTCCTTTTAAATCTGCAGAGAAATGGTTACAGACATGGCTGGGAACACTGTAGTGCCCTTATTTATCTTATGAGTTTATGTATTTTCCTAGAATTAGAAACCTCAGTAGTAGGCATCCTTAACATTAGGAAGAAACTACACATTTTGGTGAAATTCCAATAGTATTCTGTGAGCTACTGACCCTTATTTGTGATATATTCCAGAAGAGATTACAGACTTTCAAATTTGCATCACTGCAACAGCTGTTGTATGTGTAAGATGATTAAAAAATGATGCCTACCTACTGCCCCAAAAATTCAGAAGACAGACTTTTTCTTGCTTCCAGATTGGAACAAAAACTTTCCTTAAAAACCCCCCAACAATCATAGCATAATACAAAATAGTTAAGAGAGTCTACAAACAGAATCAACTTCTTAAAGCTAAGCAAAACCTTTATCAATAACCCAAGACAGATTCATCCCAAAGTAGCTCCTCTTCTCTTTTGCCATCTGTCTGTGGCTTCTTTTTATCCTTTTCGTGCTTTTTGTTCTCTTTCTCAGCGGAGTTTTCTTTAAGTCTTTTGTCTTTATAAGGTCTTGACTTCTTTTCATTTACCAAGTCTATTTCAAATTTAATTCTCTTTTGCTTCTCATTCTCTTTTCCGAAATCTGCACCTTCACTATTTTTCTTTCTTTTCTGCTTTGTGGCTTCTTTCTTGTACTTCAGCTCTTCATTGACGTATTTCTCCATCTCAAAATGTTTTATCTGAAATTTCTCTTCTTTTCTGTAGGAGCTGGTAGAAATTTCAGCAAGGATAGATTTGTAGCAGTGTTTAGATTCTGCAACCGATAGGCTGAAGCTCTTATCTCTGATGGCAGACACCTCAAATGCTTGTTCTTCTTTACAGTATCCCTTGTTATAGTGATAATTAGGTGTCTTTTCTAGTGCTTGCTCAGAAGCTGATGGCCAGCTCGGCGTTCTATTTTCCCCAGTATTTGTAGGTGACTGGGTTTCTGAGAAAAGGCTGGAACACTGGCCTGGTTCACACTTAAAATTTGAAGCTCTAACCTCACCAAGGTCACCTTCTCCTTCAATGTTTTTATCTTGAAAATCTTTCTCTTCTGCTTTTCCTAAATGTTTTCCTGGCTCTGGACCTCTAGCTTTCTGAACTTTACCATCATCCATTAATTCACCTTGAACGGAGTCATGTGTTTTCTTTGATTTCTTCTTGAGATTGACAAGCACTGTTTCTCTGCATAAATTGGATAGAAAGCCTTAGTTATTAATACTGACCAATTTACTTAGCATCTGTTAAGTTAAAAAAAAAAAAGAATCTTATTTCCAGAAATAGAAAAAAAACCATATCCCAAGTGTGTTGTTCTGTGTAACTACATGGACCCTGTTACGCATGATCATTATCTGTAAAGTGAAAGTTACAGGGAACAGATTCTATTCTTTGTGAAAACTGAAAATCTGGAATAACTTAGTGAAGATCAAATGACTTTCGTGTGACATAGGTGCTGCTAGAATAAGGTGTGTTTAAAATGACTGCATAAATTTTTTAAAACTACTTTTTAAAAAGAAAATTTGAGATTCTGTCTCATTAATTAATCTCCAACTAGCTGCAGTAAGAAGGAACTATATTATATACTGACTGTCAAGTAATAAAGTTACTAATTTCTTTATGAGATTCATTCTATTGAACAGCTGCAGTACAGTAATTTCAGGCAAACTGTATGACTCTATAACAGAAACAAAACAGAACAGAAACAACCAACCTAGATTGCTAAAAACCCCAAACAACATAAATGTGCTCCTGAGGCAAAACTACCTATTAGTTTACATTCTACTCTCCCTTTCCCCAGGCCGGAGAGAAAATGGTTAGATGACCAATATACCCTCTACGGGAAGGGCCGCTCTGAAGACCTATCCCTTAAATGTATCTTGTTCTGCCTTAATTCACCAGCTTTATACATTCATTTTGTTAAACTATAGATAGGTCTGTAGCAGTTCCTTACACTCCTGTTTTTGGGGACTCCAATTCTGTTGACTAAACAAACATTTAAAATCATATAAGTTCTATTGCGCCTTCACTTAAAATATGCCTTATCAAAATGCTTAACACGTAAGAAATTTTGATATTTAGCCTACTTGCACAGCAACCTCTAAAAAGTACACCTTAAATCACCACAATATCCATTCTGCAATTAACACAGTCTACAAGCCCTCTTCTGGGTAAAAGAGAAAGTACAAGAGCTGTCATCTATCCCATAAATGATCTTATGCCAAGTGTAAGATGCATGTTGATGAATCCTGAAAGCAACACAATTGATGGAGACACGGCACTTTTGGGGATTAAGGTCTTCTTCACCCTGTCAGTAGGAATCATAGAATGATAGAATCATAGAATGGTTTAGGTTGGAAGGGACCTTGAAGGTCATGGAGTTCCATCCCCCTGCCGTGGGCAGGAACACCTCCCACTAGACCAGGTTGCTCAAAGCCCCATCCAACCTGGCCATGAGCACCTCCAGGAATGGAGCTTCCACGTCTCTGGGCAACCCGTTCCAGTGCCTTACCACCCTCAAAGCACAAAATTTCTTCCTAATATCTAATCTAAATCTACCTTCTTCCAGTTTAAAGCCATTCCCCCTCAGCCTGTCTTTAAGTTCAGACCACTTCCTTCTAGACTGAGCACTGAAGATGCTGTACCAGAAGAGGTGCTGCTGTCCCCAGACAGCACAATAAGTGGGAAAACCATACATGTCTCAGGACCTTTCCCCTGTGGGTTGTCATTGAAGATGCAACTGCGGGAACTCTAAGACTGAATTTCAGTCACAAGTATGATGTTTAAATGGACAGTGCCCCTTTAAACCAGTAAACCAAGTAACGAAAAAAAAAACCCAAACAAAACCAAAACCCCATGAAAGTCACTTAACAGCAGACAACAGGGCTAATGAAAAAGTGTGAAAGTACAAACTACAGAGGGATAGTAACAAAAGACTTATTGACTTACTTGATCCGGTGCTTATTTCCTTGCATGTGGGACTGGTATGTTTCTATAGATGTAAGTGTGACGTTACATACAGAGCAGATGTAATAACCAACCCCAATAACTGAAAAGAAGGAACCTGTAGGTTAGAGAGACTACAAATGAAAGGCAAAACTCAAAGCACGTCACAATCCCATCCCATGCAAGAGTCCTAACATAATGCTCCCATAAACAATGTTTATAGACAGATGTAAAATCTCGGCTGCAATTTTACACTGGAATAATACTTATGAAGGGAGCTGGTGAGGTGTACGGATGCAGTGCAACCAGTGCAAACATTAACAAAGAGTATTTCTGATGACCGAAGTGATCCAAGATAATTCCGGTAAACTGTTGTCAAGTGCTGATGAGAATGTACTGTACTGAAAATTAAATGCTATTGTAAATACCTGACCCAAAGTAAGCACCAGATACCAATCCAGTCAGACCAGATTTAATTAAAATAAGATCAGTGTGAACATTAACCTGGTCCAATGTTCATGCAGTGTTGGCTCAATCCTGTGAAGATGCTGAGGGAATTGTCAATACAGTACATTATGAACATGGTACACAGAGCCTCAGGCAAATATAAGGTATGATCATATGAGGAAAGCCCTTGTGTTTTGTAGGTTGTCATTTTCTCCTCTCCTACACACTACGTCATCCATAGACCTAAGTATTCTGAAACCAGCGAGTAACCTTTTTCCCCATGCAAACCCAAGAGCTTCATCCATTAGCAAAACACAGCATTAATTCAAATGGGCTATTGCGTTGCATCAAACAGTAATATTGTTCAAATTATAGCATGACTTAATGAGAGATGTTTGATAGCAACAATGACTTTTGACTATCGGGTAGGACTTTTAATTCCTTACTAAAGAAAGGATTGACAGTTCTGTTGCACAGGACCAGATGACATCCTCTCAAAATTAATGAAAGCTGCACAGCAACAGGGCCTTGGCTTTGGACATAGTGCTTGAGCTGGACACAGTCCTGATGGGAGGCTAGAGTACAATGACTTTAGGAAATAAATTTCCTTACGTGGGAAGACCGAAATAATTACAACAGTTTCATGAATAAAAGATTAAGAGAAGACATGACACCAGTTTTCAATTATTTAAAGAATGCAACAAAAAGGAAACAAATGACGCAATTCTTGTGTCTGTTTCTTATTCTGTGCACAGTGAAGAAACACACTGTGCTCAGAGAGAGCTGAGTTCAGCGTCAGTTTTTAAAATCAAGAAGGTAACGATCAAGAAGTCCTGGGAGATGTTCCTTATGAAGGTTGTGGAGTTTCCAGCTCAGAAAGTTTTTAAGAACAAGGTGGATGGATATCTTAAGAATGACATAGGTACAACTGATCCTGGCCTTGGATTTAGGGGACTGGACTATTTTCTGTGATAATTTGAATTTGACTGCAGAACTTGGTGAGGACTGGATTTGGGTCTCCAAGTCAATAAGAAATATTTTCCAACCTACAGCTGCCAGAGGCAGAACTTCATCAGTTCATAGACCAAACAGAAAGGAAGAAATGAACTTGTTCTGTAACACAGGAGAAGACTATCATTTCAGATCAGTTCCTTGAACAAACCAGAACTGAGTACTCGAGCTACACTCAGAGATTGTAACACTTGCTCATGTTCCACTTACCAGTCGTGCCGGATTCTACAGGGACAGCTTTGTCTCCCAGTTCCTCCAGTATCTTTTTCCGCGCTTCATTTCTTCTGTGTTTCTTACCAACATAATGCTGCTGGGCCATAAGTGGATTATTGAAGGGAGCACAGCAGAGCTTGCAGTACTTGTCTGGATCATTTAACTTCAACGTTGTGTTGGAGGATGATGAAGACTCTTCAGCATTTGAAGGCAGCAAGGGCTTTTTGGCCAACGGCTTCTGTAAAGCTGGAGACGTAAAAGTAGACGATAAATGTGCTGACAGCACAGCTCATGAAAAGCCAATTCCATGGAGCAAACCAGGTGACTGCAGAACTACAGACCTGCTGGGTGCTGAACTACTTGCAAGAGACTATAAAATACCTTAGTCCTTGCAAGGCTATGAAAATACAGACTGATAAGGAACACAGAACTGGAATACTCAGAAACCCCACCATTAGATACCTACAAAACAGCTGTGTTTGATGGCTGGTCACTCTAAGGTCCTTCTGCAGTCTAAGAAGAGAGATTTACGCTGCAGAGGGTGATTCAGAGCACATACGCTATGCTCCATGTTTAAATACAGTTCAGCAACTTGTACAGGACGAACACCACTTAAGTGTTGCTCGTGGATTAATTGTTTTTTAATTTCTTATTATATTAATTTATCAGAGGAACATCTCATTGGGACTGCAGTGAACTCTCAAAACAACAATAAACACCTTTCATTAATAAAAAATCAGAAATATTTGCCTTTAGTTTTGCTCAATGAAAGATATGGAATTTGAAAGCAAGGTTCCATGGCTTCAGAGTTGCACAGGGTAGTATTTTTGTTTATTCACCTAAGGAGTCACCACATCACAGCTCCACAACTTTGGCAGAATAGAAAGGCATAGACATGGCAAGTGTAGGAAGATACTTCTCTATATTTGTTTCAGGGAGTGACAGGAAACACATGTAAAGCAAACTATTTAGTTCCTACCGGAAACAGGCTGCGTGCTCTGTGCTGGCACATGGGCTTGGTCTCCTGATAATTGCTTCAACTTTTTCGCATGGATCTTTCCCAAGTAGTGAGACAAAGCAACAACTGGGGAAGTAAAAATCACGTTGCAGAGATTGCAGTATTTGTTTTTGTCCACTACTCCACTCCTATCCATCTGCAACCAGGCAAGGGCAAGCTGAGTTACTAGCACTCACTGACGTATACAAGAAAACATTTTATTTGGCGATGAAGAGGAACAGTCACCTGAAAATTGATACAATTGGTTTTCTTCTGTTTGTCATGCTCCTGCCTCTCATCTTTCTCACCATGCATTTGGACGTAAAGACGAACTTTCTGAGCATGTTTTTTGCCCTGGGAAGAGACTAGAATTATTCCTGTTTCAGTAACAAGGACCCAAGCAGTGACTGGGACTTCATTCATCAAAAACCGCTTTCAACGCTTGCCAAATTGTATTTGTATGAAGCAGAGCCACAAGCAGACAAATGCCAGCTCATGTAACAATACTGTAATCAATACTATAGTACTTAGCATTACTCATAATATTTTGCCTCAAGCACTCCTCAGAGTCATCTACTCTCAACTCTTTGGGGGAACCCAAAATCCTGACATGTTCCCTTACAAACAGGGACACTAAAATAGGCAAGGAAAGGAACACAGCCATGCCACCGACCAAGTCTGCTGTGCTTGAGGGACTTGACATCCAGACCAATCCATGCCGTGACACAGAATAATGGCAGGCAGCACAACTTAACTTATCTTCCTAAATAATAAGTCTAGTCTCCCCACACAGTCAGTGGAGAGAAACAGGTTTCCCTGGAAGCTGAGTTAAAGTATCTCAAGCTTGGAGACAGTCTATGGAGATTTCTTACTTTTCTACTAATGATACAACAGTCCAGGTAACTAAAATTAGGTGTTAACATATACTTCCCTCAGATGTAATTATTTTTCAATTCTTAGATGCTCTCTGAACCCATAACCTTCAAACTTGTGCACTTGTAACGTACTTACCCACGTGCCACACTATACACGTGGGTATCACACACAGTGGTAACCTACAAAGCAAAACAAGAAACTTGTCTTCTCTGACCTGGTGCTTTTCAGATGTCTTTTAAGGATTCTGAGGAGCACTGCAGGATATTATGATATTATAATCAAAGAGAAAGAGGACCTATCATACCTGGCTAGACAATACAAGCACAACTGAGAAGAACGAGTCAGTTATTTGCATCAATTCATTTTGCAATGGTGAAGTCAGGTAACTTTACAATTGCATCTATTATCCTCAACTGGATTTTGATCCGAGAAACAGAAAATCGAATTGAGGGTTTGAACTCCGTGAAGTTCTGACCGTACAACTGCTGCCTAAGCTAAATCAAAGTAAGGAAATACACCACCTTGCAAGACCTGAGTCTTAATAATGTGAATAGCAAGAAAGGCTCCTGATAGCAACTAACATTTTAAACTTTAACTTTTGCAAGAAGAAAGAAAAAGCCAGAAATGTCTGTGCCTGCAAACATGCACATCCTCAAGATCAAGTTTCAAATTAAAGCATACTTTCCCATGTCTACAGCAATATCCCAAGGCATGCAGTTGGTCCAAGAAATGCCTGCAGCATGATTCATACAACCTGCCTCAAGCAGACACTGGTACACAGAGCATCACATGTGTATCATTGGGTGAAGGCACCAGAAGGCATGACCTTGATCCTCTATAGCTAGCACTTCCCCATACCATATGTATGTTCCGGCTCACGTGGTACAGATCTGCTTCAACCCCATATACAGCATGGCCTGAACTTGCTCAGCTCCTCCTAAAATTATGCTGCAATATGCAAGTGATTGCCCTTCACTATACTGAACCCACAAATTTCACATTCAAGTCTGGTTCGTGTCTAAGCCTAACACAAGCCTTGGGAAGCACACTATAAAAAGTTGTAAGTGGCCTTTTATAACACTACGTAAAAACCCCAAACAAATACACCAAAGCCCCAGTGCTTGCTAGGAGAAATCCTCCCTTCCAGCCTACCTTATAGTGTGACACCCTTTGAGACTCGAACTGCAGCACTGCCCTGCAGACCTTACAGAAAGTGTTGGTGAAAAGGTCTTTCCTTGTTGCCTCATCTAAAATGTCATCTAAACGGAAAGAGCAAAAGACAAAAATCAGCCAGGAGTGAAGACAAGTTATATTTGCATGGTTTTCCTTGAATAAAATATCAACGACTTGAATATTCACACACAGCACAAGATGAAGAAGCCAATATTCATCCACTGAATCACACCATGACGCCTCACTGTGCCTTCATAGCAATGCTGTAAAGCAACCTAAACCTTCCTACTTACAGGAGTATTGCTCTCATAGACTCATAAAGTATTACTATAAGAGCATGTAGACTTTAAAAAAAAAGAAGACAGAGACTCTTCATTGGATTTGCAGTCCATTTCAAGTAAAGCACAATGTCACAAATACTTGATTAATGGCTTAAAAAGAAGAATTTTAACTGAACTAGGCCACACAGTTAGTTAAATAAGGGAATACTCCTTAAAGAAGAGGTTTAAAGAAAGTCTGGAAATAGCTCAGTAGATAAGAAAAGCTTCTGAGACCTCCTGGCCTAGGAAGGTTGTACCTGTGCCCCATATGCCGATTTCACTGATTTAGTCATGTGGGAAAAAACTGCTCCAATAGCATATTTTGCTTTTTTTTGCCCTGTTCCCAGTTAACTTATGGCCTGTACACACTTTAATACATACTAAAATTGGCCCAGGCTTGAAGCTATTTCTGAACAATTGCATGTGCAGGCACATTGGATCTGAGGGGGGACACTCTAACAAGCACTTAAAAGTAGTGCCAACATCATGTCAATTAAGAGAATTAAAACCACTCTTCAAACGAGCATAGCTGTGCTGGCAAAACCCTCACAAAGATAAAGCTACATCACCACCCCAGTTCTTTCTCCTCTTAATAAACTTTAATTCATTAAGGAAACCAGTTTAACTCATATTGCTTGAAACAGTTCTCTGGCACAGGCTATGCTTTCAGGGTGCAAGTTTACCCATTCTACTCTGCCACAAAATCTTTTTCTGAGCTGACAAACCCCAAGACTACTTGTTTCTTTTTCATCCCCAGTGGGTCTCGCTTCAGTTCCAGTTAAGCTACAATTTTCTTTTTTGGCATACCCTGCTCTTAAATATAAGCTAAAGTTAAACCAGTTTAAAGCAAAAATAACGGAAGCCACATAACTACACAGTTCAACTAAATTGTGCTCTTCAAATGAAGCGGAGGTTAAAGGGAAAATATTGGGGAAAGTATTGTGATGCCTTAACTGAGCTTACTCTCTCTAAGTTTACCCAACAGTCCATCCTGGAAGACTCATGTGGAGCAGCTGCCTTTCCGTGCTTTGCACACAGCCTGGCGAGACCGTGGGGAAGGAAAGCATCGCCCCCTGTGGTCTTAAGGCTCAGTACCAAAAGGCATCTAGAAACCCATAAAGGCAATCAGCCTTTACCCTTATTTCTAAGGACTGTTCTCTTGGCCCCTTACCGAAGAAAAGTCAAGTCCAAGGGACCATGAAAAAAACAGAATGAAATACTGTGTAATGTGTCCTGTAACTCTAAATGACGGTACCGAGTTGTGGGATGATCGGTTCACAAATGACTAAGGGAGGACTAAAGTTTACCCCGTCCCCTGCATTTGCCCTCGACAACATGACTGCCCTCTTTGCACAAGTAAAAAGCCCCTTAAAAACAGAGCACAAATTTCAGTACAAGCTGTATGACGTATTTTCACCAAGCCATTATCACCCCAGGAATGTGGGTCCAGTGAAAGCCTGAAACAAGGAATGCCAAACTGCTTTGACAAACCAACATTAACACCTGCGACCAGCTGAAAATCTATCAGCAGCTCCACAGGCACTGACAAAACCTGAGGAATGGCAGATGCAGAGATCTTTCTCAGACTGCGTGCATGTTTAATCCTACTTTGCCTTCCCAAAGCAGCATTCCTGAATTGTTTAACTTACAGATCTTAATTAAAGCTGGCTCTGATGAGGGTTTTGGCTGAGATTGCCACAACAACCGGGTGCCAAAATGCTGCTGTCTGGCATGGTTTACCATCAGTCCCTGATATAAGAACTAATTTTTTTAATAAAGCCTTTATTTTCATGAGGTACAATGGCCAGATGACTAGTCCTTTAAAGTTTTGTTATTCTGTAGTCTAAGTCATCCAGAAATCTTCAATATTCTACAGATATTGATTCACATAGCTTAGCCTCACAATAAACGACTTGAATCCACACAAGAAAATCCAATAACTTGGTTCTGGGCATTAGCTGAAAGCTCATCTTGCACCTGAAAAGTATGAATTGCCAATGTTTGTAGCAGAAAAAGCCACTTACAAAGGAAAATTACACCAGTTTGCTCAAGTGTATTGAACTGTAAAAACATAGCTACCTAGAGAAAGATAAATGGAACAATATTCTCTATTAAAAAAAACAGTAAGAAAAAGCAAATTGCAATGCAACTAGGCACAAATCTATGAAATAGTACTACCATGGGCAGTATTCACTATATTTCAATTTGCATAATCTCTCACTGGAAAACAGATCTTTGTTTCAAAGACAGACTTCTTTATATAAGAACAGTATTCTATTCATGTTGCCTTGACTTAGCAGTGAACTGCACAGCCTTCTTGGCAGACAAAACCCAACCAAGTACATGCTACAAAACCCCCCCTAAAGAACACTGTAACATGAAATTAAAATTGGGTTTTTAATTCACCTTTTTCCTGGCTGACCACTGCAATGAGAAGACTGGGTTATAGGGACTAGTAGTCTGGCTGTCCAAGTAACTCCTATTGTGCCTCTTCGAGCCATCCTGAACCCTGCTGTGTCCTTGTCCTCAATGGCAATTTGCAGTAACTGATGAACTGCACTAATATATATTCTAGGGACAGTTTTAAATACTGCTCTTCATTGTTACAAGAGTCGTCTTCATTCTTCAATATTGTAAAAAGGCTGACAGGACTTGACTTACTCTGATTTTTTCTTCTTTGTAAATTTATCACATCTTCTTAGTTCTCTTTATAGTATTGTGTTTTCTATTTCTCATTTAGTCTTTCAATTTTCACCTAACACTGTTGTCCCTCTGTTTTGGCTCTATCTTTTCTCAAGATAAGGTTATGTTTCTACGGCTGAGTCAGCAGTGATGAACTACATCAGCTGCAATAATCTCAGTGAAGCCTCCTACCTCAGTCTAACACTGGTAGCACTGTAAGCTCAAGAACTGGTTTCCCCCAAGAGAAAGAGATCTACTAAAATAAAAACACAGAGTTCACAACATTTGCCTTGACTTTTGAACCTTACAGATCTGCTCTAATCAGTTTTTCTGCATGGTCACAAGATGACCATTGACCCCTATCCCATGAAACAGGCAGGGCTCCCAAACAATAATGTGTCTGAGGAACGCAAACCATGAGCATGGTAACGTAACCTGCTTTAAAACGGAGCTCTTGGCATTCACCTGCTGTTATATTAGCAACAGCACGCGAGTTCAATTCCAGCTTTGTCAGTTCAATACAGCAAAGCACAGCATAACCCTGTCTGCTTTCCTTAGACCAAACAAGGGCAGAACATCCTGTTCCACAAAAAGGATACAGCAGCTGCTACCAAGCAGGTCAGAAGCACAGCTACCTAGCGCTTCTGAAAATACGGGGTAGCCACTTTTTAAAACCCTGATTTAGATAGTACCTCCACAAAATATCAGAACAGCCATCCCCTTCCTGGGCTTCCAAGCGTCTGCCATGCCAAGAGCTCCTGATGCCAGATACAGACTGGAAAGCTGCCTTCCTATACAGCCTGCAGAATTAATAAGTGATTACTGACTGCAATATCATGCAACCTTGCCCTAAACAATGCTCTGGTTCTCCCTGCCTGTTTAGTCCTTGCCCTCCTTCCCGATACAGCCAAAGAGAGCTCCTTACCAATGATAAATTCAAAATTATCTGGATCTTATATAACTCATCTCATGCGTATCAAGAGTCAATCTATATTCCTTCTCAGTTTTGCAACACTATTAATTTATAGTAGTCATCCAAGATACTTGGGCATTTTAATAAAGGGCTGCTTTACAATCAGATTCAAATTCCAGATGGATGCACCAGCTCTGGTCATGTTTCAAATGAATGCTAAGACTGCTTGCTATTCCACTACTAATGCCCCAACCGCCCAAGCTGCTGTTTCAGTAGTGTGGATTTATAAAAATATATAATTATTGATAATTCTGGATGTGTGTGTTAAAATCACATTGCAGGACTGCAATAAAAACAGTTCACTCAAGACCTAAGGATGAGATCAAGAAAGTGAACGTCAAATATGCAGATATCTATGGAAAAGAATCACAGAATGGTCAGGGTTGGAAGGGACCTCTGGAGATCATCTAGTCCAACCCCTCTGCCAGAGCACGGTCACCTACAGCAGGTCGCACAGAACGGCGTCCATGTGGGTTTTGAATGTCTCCAGAGTGGGAGACTCCACCACCTCTCTGAGCAGCCCGTTCCAGTGCTCTGCCACCCTCAAAGTAAAGAAGTTCCTCCTCATGTTTAGATGGAACTTCCCATGTTCAAGTTTGTGCCCATTACCTCTTGTTCTATCACTGGGCACCACTGAAAAAAGACTGTTCCCATCCCCCTGGCACCCTCTGTAGTATTTTATATTTCAAAGGACTCTTCACAAAGTCTGTGAAAAGATGAAGGACCAAGTTTTCTTGTGCAGTGGTTGTGTGGTTCACTGCCTGTGGAAGGAAGACTTAACTGTTAATGTCATTCAGTTGCACCCAAAAGTGACTTAAAGCAAATCAAACCCTAAACTGTTCAGTGTGAGGGTTTGACTGGGAGACCCTGGGTCTACTCTCAGCTCTGCTGCCTGCTTGTTAAACTTCGTCAATATCCTTAAACATACATTCTCAAATGTAGGCATGTTTGTATCTAGGCATTTAAGCTTGAAAACTCTGTTTTTAATTTCTGTGCATCTCCAATTCCTGCAACAATACCATGGGAGAAATTAGTTACCTACTGCAAAGGGATGAGTTAAAACTAATTCTTATGAACACAACTGTTCCTCATTTTGATGGGTCCTGTCAATATTATCCTAAACAACAGAATTGGCATGAACAATGTCACGTTAAATTATTGTTTTCAGTTAGGGTATGAACAATCTTGATTTAAGTTCCTTGGTTTTCTTAGAAAACAAGTGTTTCAAACCAAGTGCTTTTCTAAGTGACTCCTGATGCCAGCATCTTGCCATTTAAGTATGAAATAAGTAGAAAGTATCAGAGAAGGACACAATTCCTCCTTCCCACCTAAGCTGCATTTTACAAGCTACCTTTTGAAAAGCACTCAGTGAGCTACTGCCAATAAAACACACCTCCGCTAAAACTCACTGTGGCAGGGGTGTTGGAACTAGATGACCTTTAAGGTCCCTTCCAACTCCAACCATTCTATGACTCTATGGTGGCTGCTCCACACTTGCATAAGAGGGAATGTTCCTCTTTCTAATGGTGCTGTGGCATGAAGAGACTGCAAATCCCCCCAGGTCCTAGTCAACGTCAGTAACACCAGCTCAACTTTGCAGGGATCAGAGTATACTGGAACTTTGAGCCTGGTGAGCTACAGCTGTAGACAGGTACATACGGCCAGCCCTGAGCATGCACAGCAAAGACAGGTCAACCCAGCCTAGGAGGAGTTACGATCTTCACATTCCAGATGGCAAACATATACCTAATACAGAAGGGGCAAAAAGCTGTGTAATCTTAATTCATAGTCAGTAGTTAAAGATAATAGTATGGTTCCACAGGGGGAAAAAATGAGCACGTTTTCAGATGTTTGCAGACTAGAGAAGAAAACCACTGTGCAAAACGATCATGTCTTCTACTCCTCTTCGAAGAAATACAGTCAGTGTATGCGCTGCATTGCTGTTTCCTCTCAGTGAATGTTCTGGTTCAGTTGCCCTTGGAGTTCTGCTTCATAATTTTATTTTTTATGATGTCACGTTTGAAGCTTGAGA